AGACAATCAAAATGTGGTAAAAACGAAAATAATAATTTAATTCTTCCAAATTTAATAATTCTAATCATCTGAAAATTACCAGAGTTGTTGTAGGGACTAAGCCCTACACAATCCTAAAGAATATAAAATTTTATTTTATTTTTTAAGTGATAGCATGTCCACCCGTACGCCATCAGACAATCAAAATTTGGTAAAAACGAAAATAAAAATTTATTTTTTCTAAATTTAATAATTCTAATCATCTGAAAATTACCAGAGTTCTAGAAGGGACTGAGCTCTACACAATCCTAAAGAATATAAAATTTTATTTTAATTTTTAAGTGATAGCAGGTCCACTCGTACGCCGTCAGACAATCAAAATTTGGTAAAAACGAAAATAAAAATTTAATTCTTCCAAATTTAATAATTCTAATCATCTGAAAATTACCAGAGTTGTTGTAGGGACTGAGCCCTACACAATTCTAAAGAATATAAAATTTTATTTTAATTTTTAAGTGATAGCAGGTCCACCCGTACGCCATCAGACAATCAAAATTTGGTAAAAACGAAAATAAAAATTTATTTTTTCTAAATTTAATAATTCTAATCATCTGAAAATTACCAGAGTTCTAGAAGGGACTGAGCTCTACACAATCCTAAAGAATATAAAATTTTATTTTAATTTTTAAGTGATAGCAGGTCCACCCGTACGCCATCAGACAATCAAAATTTGGTAAAAACGTAAATAAAAATTTATTTTTTCTAAATTTAATAATTCTAATCATCTGAAAATTACCACAGTTCTACTAGGGACTAAGCCCTACACAATCCTAAAGAATATAAAATTTTATTTTAATTTTTAAGTGATAGCATGTCCACCCGTACGCCATCAGACAATCAAAATTTGGTAAAAACGAAAATAAAAATTTATTTTTTCTAAATTTAATAATTCTAATCATCTGAAAATTACCAGAGTTCTAGAAGGGACTGAGCTCTACACAATCCTAAAGAATATAAAATTTTATTTTAATTTTTAAGTGATAGCAGGTCCACTCGTACGCCGTCAGACAATCAAAATTTGGTAAAAACGAAAATAAAAATTTAATTCTTCCAAATTTAATAATTCTAATCATCTGAAAATTACCAGAGTTGTTGTAGGGACTGAGCCCTACACAATTCTAAAGAATAAAAAATTTAATTTTAATTTTTAAGTGATAGCAGGTCCACCCGTACGCCATCAGACAATTAAAATTTGGTAAAAACGGAAATAAAAATTTAATTCTTCCAAATCTAATAATTCTAATCATCTGAAAATTAGCAGAGTTCTAGTAGGGACTGAGCCCTACACAATTTTAAAGAATATAAAATTTTATTTTAATTTTTAAGTGATAGCAGGTCCACCCCTACGCCATCAGACAATCAAAATTTGGTAAAAACGAAAATAAAAATTTATTTTTTCTAAATTTAATAATTCTAATCATCTGAAAATTACCAGAGTTGTTGTAGGGACTGAGCCCTACACAATCCTAAAGAATATAAAATTTTATTTTAATTTTTAAGTAGTAGCACCCTCACCCGAACGCCATCAGACAATCAAAATGTGGTAAAAACGAAAATAATAATTTAATTCTTCCAAATTTAATAATTCTAATCATCTAAAAATTAGCAGAGTTCTAGTAGGGACTGAGCCCTACACAATCCTAAAGAATATAAAATTTTATTTTAATTTTTAAGTGATAGCAGGTCCACTCGTACGCCATCAGACAATCAAAATTTGGTAAAAACGAAAATAAAAATTTAATTCTTCCAAATTTAATAATTCTAATCATCTGAAAATTACCAGAGTTGTTGTAGGGACTGAGCCCTACACAATCCTAAAGAATATAAAATTTTATTTTAATTTTTAAGTGATAGAAGTTCCACCCGTACGCCATCAGACAATCAAAATATGGTAAAAACGAAAATAAAAATTTAATTCTTCCAAATTTAATAATTCTAATCATCTGAAAATTACCAGAGTTGTTGTAGGGACTGAGCTCTACACAATCCTAAAGAATATAAAATTTTATTTTAATTTTTAAGTGATAGCAGGTCCACCCGTACGCCATCAGACAATCAAAATGTGGTAAAAACGAAAATAAAAATTTATTTTTTCTAAATTTAATAATTCTAATCATCTGAAAATTACCACAGTTCTACTAGGGACTGAGCTCTACACAATCCTAAAGAATATAAAATTTTAATTTAATTTTTAAGTGATAGCAGGTCCACCCGTACGCCATCAGACAATCAAAATGTGGTAAAAACGAAAATAAAAATTTATTTTTTCTAAATTTAATAATTCTAATCATCTGAAAATTACCAGAGTTCTAGTAGGGACTGAGCTCTACACAATCCTAAAGAGAAAAGAATTTTATATCAATTTTTAAGTAATAGTACCCTCACCCGAACGCCATCAGACAATCAAAATGTGGTATAAACGAAAATAAAAATTTAATTCTTCCAAATTTAATGATTCTAATCATCTGAAAATTACCAGAGTTCTAGTAGGCACTGAGCCCTACACAATCCTAAAGAATATAAAATTTTATTTTAATTTTTAAGTGATAGCAGGTCCACCCGTACGCCATCAGACAATCAAAATGTGGTAAAAACGAAAATAAAAATTTATTTTTTCTAAATTTAATAATTCTAATCATCTGAAAATTACCAGAGTTCTAGTAGGGACTGAGCCCTACACAATCCTAAAGAATATAAAATTTTATTTTAATTTTTAAGTGATAGCAGGTCCACCCGTACGCCATCAGACAATCAAAATGTGGTAAAAACGAAAATAAAAATTTAATTCTTCCAAATTTAATAATTCTAATCATCTGAAAATTACCAGAGTTGTTGTAGGGACTGAGCCCTACACAATCCTTAAGAATATAAAATTTTATTTGAATTTTTAAGTGATAGCAGGTCCACCCGTACGCCATCAGACAATCAAAATTTGGTAAAAACGGAAATAAAAATTTAATTCTTCCAAATCTAATAATTCTAATCATCTGAAAATTAGCAGAGTTCTAGTAGGGACTGAGCCCTACACAATCCTAAAGAATATAAAATTTTATTTTAATTTTTAAGTGATAGCAGGTCCACCCCTACGCCATCAGACAATCAAAATGTGGTAAAAACGAAAATAAAAATTTATTTTTTCTAAATTTAATAATTCTAATCATCTGAAAATTACCAGAGTTCTAGTAGGGACTGAGCTCTACACAATCCTAAAGAAAAAAGAATTTTATATCAATTTTTAAGTAATAGCACCCTCACCCGAACGCCATCAGACAATCAAAATGTGGTATAAACGAAAATAAAAATTTAATTCTTCCAAATTTAATGATTCTAATCATCTGAAAATTACCAGATTTCTAGTAGGCACTGAGCCCTACACAATCCTAAAGAATATAAAATTTTATTTTAATTTTTAAGTGATAGCAGGTCCACCCGTACGCCATCAGACAATCAAAATGTGGTAAAAACGAAAATAAAAATTTATTTTTTCTAAATTTAATAATTCTAATCATCTGAAAATTACCAGAGTTCTAGTAGGGACTGAGCCCTACACAATCCTAAAGAATATAAAATTTTATTTTAATTTTTAAGTGATAGCAGGTCCACCCGTACGCCATCAGACAATCAAAATGTGGTAAAAACGAAAATAAAAATTTATTTTTTCTAAATTTAATAATTCTAATCATCTGCAAATTACCAGAGTTCTAGTAGGGACTGAGCCCTACACAATCCTTAAGAATATAAAATTTTATTTTAATTTTTAAGTGATAGCAGGTCCACCCGTACGCCATCAGACAATCAAAATGTGGTAAAAACGAAAATAATAATTTAATTCTTCCAAATTTAATAATTCTAATCATCTGAAAATTACCAGAGTTGTTGTAGGGACTGAGCCCTACACAATCCTAAAGAATATAAAATTTTATTTGAATTTTTAAGTGATAGCAGGTCCACCCGTACGCCATCAGACAATCAAAATGTGGTAAAAACGAAAATAAAAATTTAATTCTTCCAAATTTAATAATTCTAATCATCTGAAAATTACCAGAGTTGTTGTAGGGACTGAGCCCTACACAATCCTAAAGAATATAAAATTTTATTTTAATTTTTAAGTAGTAGCACCCTCACCCGATCGCCATCAGACAATCAAAATGTGGTAAAAACGAAAATAATAATTTAATTTTTCCAAATTTAATAATTCTAATCATATGAAAATTACCAGAGTTCTAGTAGAGACTGAGCCCTACACAATCCTTTTTATTTTCAAGAGTAATTTTTATTTTCACAAAGTAACAAAAATTATAACGAATAACAATAATGAATTGAAAACTAAATTGATTTGAACACTGAAAATTTGTTACAATTGTAATTATACAACGACTGACCCGTCTATATTCGAAGACTGTTAGACTTGTACTGACTTGTCTTTACCTGCTCCCTTCAGGACTTTCCGCCGCCCCTTCCCTTTTTGGGGTTTTCCAGAAACCTTATCTCACTATCCATTGTTCTGGGCCATCGCAAATACAAAATTACAAACACACTACAAGGTCATTTCGCGTCAGTAACATACTCTACCCCAGTATGGGTTGTGTCACACAATCATACTACGGCTGGCTGTATTACAGCAACTTTTACAGCAGGTCTTTTGAGCACTTGACCGTTACTCGTTCGAACATCAATCACACGGATTCGACCATCTTTTCCCGGGTATACTGTGGAAATTATTCCCTTGATCCATGTGTTTCTGGGTATTGATCCGTCCACGACTAGTACCACGTCCCCCACGGCTAAAGGTCTGACTTCCTGGTTCCAGCACTTCCTGATGAGTAATGTTGGCAAATATTCCTTGGTCCAACGCATCCAAAACATATCGGCCAATCTCTGCGCAATTCTCCATTGCTTTCTCAAGCATAAGTCTGTATCGGTGAATTTTCCTTCGATTATGCTGCCTGAGGACGACCCAATTAAAAATGATTAGGAGTCAGACCTTCAGTATCGTCAGGAGCAATTGGTACGTGGGTTAATGGTCTGCTGTTCACCGTATGTTCGACCTCAGACATTAATGTCATTATAGTCTCTTCTTTAGGTGCTCTCTCTTTTAAGACTGCAGATAGAGCATTCTTAACGCTCCGTATCATTCTTTCCCAGGCTCCCCCCATGTGAGGGGCCGACGGGGGTATGAATTTCCATCGGATTCCGTGATTTGCTGCATGGTTTTCAATTTTCTCGACATCCATTTCCGACAAAGCCTTTTTTAGTTCCGTCTCGGCGCCTCTTAGATTGGTCCCGTTGTCACAATATATCTCGGTTGGTGTACCACGACGTGCAGACATACGTCTTATTGCCATGATCGCAGAATCCGCAGAAAGTGTGTGTGCTAATTCTACGTGGATGGCGCGAACAGTTAAGCAGGTGAAAAGTACACCCCACCTTTTTACATGTTTTCTCCCGATTGTGATTATCATCGGACCAAAATAATCGAGGCCGCATCGAGTAAATGGTCTCTCGTTCTTATCCATTCGCGCTTCTGGTCGGTTTCCCATCCTAGGTGCTTCGGGTTTAGCCCTTTTTATTCGACACTGCTGACATTGCGATATTACTTTTTTTACAGTAGGCCTGATATTCAGGATCCAGTACCGTTGACGCAGTTCGTTGATAACGGCCTCCGTAAATCCATGATGCAGTTTCTCGTGCCAATGTAGGATTAACAACTTGGCGAATCTATGTTTTCCATCTATAATAACAGGATTTTTCATATTTTGGTTGATGTTGTTTGCTAATCCTATTCTGCTATCAATTTTTAGTATATCCTTATCAATCATCAGTGGCAGCTTGCATAATCGACTGTCTTTCTGGATCGGACGACCGGCTTTAATGGCTTCGAGTTCCTTTTCGAAGGAATCGTACTGAGTTTTCTGAATCCATTGATTTTCTGCAGTTGGCTTCATTTTCGTTCTTTCAATCCATATCTTCTTCGCCACATATACCCATGCGGTACATCGAATTAATCGTAACCATTTCGAAAACCGATTTATATCTGGTAATTCGAATTCTTTTTGTGTTCTCGTTACGTTTAGACAAGTAATCTTCCTTTCGACGCTTATCTCCTTTGTTGTAGTAAATGGTGGCCAATTGTCACTCGTTTTTTTTAGGAATTCAGCTCCTTGTAACCATTTCGACAATTGTACTTCTATTTTTCCACGATCTCTAGTGGCTACATCCGCCGGATTGTCTCTCGTGCTTACCCACCTCCACTCATGTGGGCTCGTTATTTCACTAATTTCACCGAGACGGTGGGCAACGAATGCTTGATATTTGTGAGGATCTGCATTTATCCAAGATAGTACATTCCTAGAGTCTGTCCAAAAATAACGTTCATCGATTTTCATCTCAAGTTCTCGAGTTACGAAGTCAGCCAATCTACTGCCTATCAGAGCACCTTGTAGTTCCATTCTCGGTATGGATATTGGTTTTAGGGGCGATACTTGGCTTTTACCTACTACGTATGATACTTCTACGTTCCCATCCGGATAGACCATTCTCCAATATACGACAGCCGAGTAAGCTTGTTCGCTAGCATCACTAAATGTATGTAGCTCTAATCTCTCGGGTTTCTCACGCCTCATTCTATAACACCTTGGTATTTTCGCCTTTTTGACTCCTTCTATATCGTTTATCCATAGTTTCCATTTTTCGAATTCTGGTATTTTTAATCTTTCGTCCCAATCGATCCCACTTCTCCATACGTTTTGGAGTAGAATTTTAGCTTTAACGTGGTATGGGCTCAACATTCCCAACGGATCGTAGACAGACATAATAGTCTGTAACATTTGACGCTTCGTTGGTATTTCCGATCCATCCAATATATTCCCTGCTATTCTTTTAAAGCTTAGATCAAAGGTTATCATATCTTCTCGTGGGTCCCATATCAGGCCAAGAGTTTTATGTGTGTTCTCATCAAGCATTACCAGGTTGATCGATCCTTTCGTTGGAGCCGTAGTTCCCATTGTAGCCAATACCTTGTCGCTGTTGCATGCCCAGTTTCTTATCTCGAATCCTCCATTTTTATGTATTGTGGTTACTTGATTTATCCTTTCAATGGCCTTTTCTTCACCTTCGACACAATCCAGATAATCATCCACATAATGGTTTTTTATAATGGCCTTTACCGCTTCCGGATATTTTCCTTCCAGCTCTTTTGCATTTTTATTTTTTATATACTGAGCCATGTGAGGCGATGACGCTGCTCCGAATATCATGGACGTCATCACATACGTGGATGGTTCTTCTTTTCTATTCCACCCTCGCCACAAAAATCGCTGAGCGTTCTGGTCTTCGTTGCGGATCTTCACCTGCAAAAACATTTCTTTAACCCCTTCGCTGTGAAGAGAAAAATCTATAAAGTGGGTCCAAAATGTTAAGAAATTTTTTGGCAACCAAAATTTGTGAGATTCAGTACACTTAAGTTTTGGGGGTCGCTGATGACGAATCTGAAGTCAGATTTTCAAAATTCAAAATGGCGGATCCAAAATAGCGGACGTATTTTTTTGAATTCATCGGATTCGCTTGAAACTTGTTACTCGGGGGTTTTCAGAGGGTCGCTGATAACGAATTTAAAGTTCATTTTTAAAAATTCAAAATGGCGGATCCAATATGGCGAACATATATTTTTTAATTTCTCGGATTAGCTTGAAACTCGTTACTGTAACTAACACGTGTAATAAATAAACGAAAGGTAAACACTTAGAAGTCGGATTAATACCTATTGTTTCTCGAATCAATTTGAGTAAATTAAATCCAATGAATATTATAAATGTAGGAGTGTCCAAAATTTTAATAAGACGAATATACGATAATAAGACGATTTTATTATAGAAAAGTTGATTAATGTAAAATATCAAAACAAAAGACGATATGCAATCTCTGCTTTTATAAAAAAAGAAAGACTCAACTTAGGTATTCATTTATTTATCATGTATTTTTTAAAAAATTCTTATTTATTTTGTTTTTTTACGATCGATTTCAAGCGTAACGACTAGTTTCAAGCGAATCCGATAAATCCAAAAAAACGATCGCGATATTGGATCCGTTATTATAAAATTTTTAAAATCTAACTTCATATTCGTAATTAGCGACCTCGAAAGCTCCCGTAGTAACGAGTTTTAAGCAAATCCGAGAAATTAAAAACATGTGTTCGCCATTTTGGATCCGCCATTTTGAATTTTGAAAATTTGACTTCAGATTCGTCATCAGCGACCTGAAAAACCCGCGAGTAACGAATTTCAATCGAATCCGAGAAATTAAAAAAAATATGTCTGCCATATTGGATCCGCCATTTTGAATTTCGAAAATCTAACTTCATATTCGAAATCGGCGACCTCGAAAACCCCCGAGTAACAAGTTTCAAGCGAATTCAATGAATTAAAAAAAAAATTAGTCCGTCATCGAAATTCAAAATGGCGGATCCAAATCCGACATTTTGAATTTCGAAAATCTAACTTCATATTCGTAACCAGCGACGTCGAAAACATTTTGATATAATTATGTTAGATATTATTTTGATATGATAATGTATGCTGCCTGAGATTTAATATAATAAAAGTATCATTCAAAACAGTCTTCTTTTGAGCAGCCATATTGGATTTTGGTTTTCGAATTTTCGAAATTTGACTTCAGATTCGGATTCAGCGTCGAAAATACCATAAGTAACGTATGTGTGACGTAAATTTACTTGTTTTTTCTGCTTTTTATCAATTTTTTTGTATGTACGTCTATAGACGTACCTCACACTGGAAGCCCACTTTCAAATGTACGTCTATAGACGTACCCTCACAGTCAAGGGGTTAATGTCTCCTTTGAATGCAATTTTTTCAATTCGGAATCTCATTAATACGCTTAACAGCGGAGTCACCAAGTCCGGCCCAGTCATTAGTTGATCGTTTAATGAGATTCCATCCACTTTTGCTGCAGCGTCAAATACGAGTCGAAATTTTCCAGGCTTACTTGGATTCTGAACGCCGAAGTGAGGTAAATACCAAGTGCAATCACTTGGTTTATATGAATCGTCTATCTTTTTTGCGTACTTAGATCGAATTAAATTTTCTATTTCTCGAGTATATTGTTTTCCGTAGTCAGCATCTCGATCCATCTTACGTTCGACAGCCTCTAATCTTTTCTTCGCATATTCCTTACTGTTTGGCATTTTTATAGAGTCTTTTTTCCATAAAAGACCAGCTTCCCATTTATTTCCAACTCTTCGTGTAGTATCATGTAAGATCCTTTCAACACGTGCAGAGTCTTTATCCTTTCGACATATCAATTTAATCCCAATAGATTCGAGATTAAAATTTAACTTCACAATTCGATGAAGATCATTTATAGTATCTTTTTCATCGTAGCCGTTTACTTGTTTTAGAGACAACTGTCCAACGTGTTCTTCATTTTCTTTAGGGTTTCTTCGTTTCAAGTTGCCGTGAATTGTCCAGCCGAGTTGTGTGAGTGATCCCACTGGTTCATATACCGATGTGATTCGTATCTCTTTTGGTGTTATTAAATGACTATTATCTTGACCAATTAATATTTTCGGTCTGACGAAGTGATAATAATTGATATCTATATGTCTCAGATGTTTATATGTTTCGACATCTTCTGCGTGCAGACTTTGAGGAGGTAACCTTAGATTTTTAATAGTCTGTGCATCTCTTATTTCGTACCTGTTCTTTTGTTTATCTAATGGGTTCGTAATATCAAAATTAATCATTTGACTCTTGCTGTCAACTATCTCGGTTCCCTTTACAGCTTGTAATCGTAATATGGTATTTGTTCCCTCTGCTCCTATTTGTTGTGCTAATTTCGAGTCTATTAATGTTACCGTCGCCCCATCATCTAACATAGCGTATGTGACGATACTTCCTTTTGGTCCGTGTACTATAACTTGCATTATTTTCAACAGTACTAGTCACATGGAGGACCTTGCTCCATCCTTTTCATGATCAGCAGATGTAGTTGTACGTGTTTTCCCTTTTGGAAATCCGCCGTGAAGCAATGAGTGGTGACTTTTGGTGCATCCATCTTCTTTACACCCCGTCGCATGGCAATCTCGGTTATAGTGTGTATTTGATAAACAACGGTAGCACAATCTTTTTTCCTTTACCCATTCCATGCGATCCTGTTTTGATATTTTTGTAAATTCTCCACAACCAGTGATGTGATGACCAAATATTTCGCAATACGAACACTCTTTTTCAGATTCTGAAACCGTTGTTTTGGCTCGTTTAGATTTTTGCGATGTATCTGTATGCAATACTGTACGTTTTTTAAAGGTATTACCACGTGTGCTTGACTGATGGCCTAATCTGTTCCTAACGTTGCTTTTCTTAGCGACATCATCCAGATCCTTTTGTGTTTGATAAAATAGCTCGCTCGTACCTGCCTTGCATGCCATCTCCGCTTCCCGGAATAGAAAATCTGATAGTGTTATTAATGACGATTGTACATCGTCATTTCTATCACACAAGAATCTGTGGTAAAGTTGAATCATACTGGGTGGCAATTTTTTTAATATTTCGTTTGTTAGATCAGGACTGTACAAGTATCCAACGTTATTCGCCGATTGCATGGCCGCTACGCAGTTCTTAACTTTGGTGGCGAATATCACGATCCCTTCTCCCCTTTCGTCCATAATAGGGGGTAATTTATTCAAGTCCTCAACTACTCTTTTTGACACAATGCCTGGGTTTCCATAGCGCATCTGCAGAATCTTTATTATTTCGCTTGTATTTTCGGCTGTCATCATTACAGCAGCTACGGCCTCCCGGGCTTGTCCCTTGAGAGATTCATGTAACCTCAAAAGGTTATCCTGCTCAGTTAGTCCTCCTGTTTTAGTCGATTGCTCGAATGCTCTTCGGAATGCAGGCCATTCCAATACATTACCATCAAATTCAGGGAGTTTCTTGCTCATTGTCATGTGTCCTATGAGTCTCTTCGTTGCCGCTTCGGCATGCCTGACGCCGATATTTTCCTCTACATGAGATAAAGTTAGAGGTCTTTCGTTATTTCGAGTTGGACCCCATCGTTGGTGATTTTGAGTCGCCCACTCTCGAGTTCTGGCGCGTTTAATTCTCTCTTCATCGCTGCAGTCGCTATTTTCTGATACATAAGTAGCATAATCTCTATCGATTTCACTTAGTTCGTCTAAATAACGTTGATGAGCGATCGAGCGTGCTTCCTCCAATTGTCGCTTTAACGATTTCTTTCGACGCTCTTGGGATTCATTATTATTCCCTCGTCTATTTTGGATGAGTTGTCTTAGATCTTCATGATCGTCCTCATGACCCACATGAGACTCTATTCTTCGTGACGATCTATGTTCACTTTCTTGATCTCGATCGCCATTCATATTTTCTATTAAATGATCGGACTCCCGTTTATGAGAGCGCCTGCGTTCCCCACCCCGTGAGTATCGAGTACGCTCTCTTTTTCGACTTTGCCTTTCACGCCTCATCACATCTCTTGAGGGTGACCTCGTCACTATTGAGCCTCTATGAGTTCCGTACCGCTCTCCACTTGGGCTCCCCACGCGATCTTCTCTCCTTGAGCGACCGACCCTTCGGCCGCTAGAATGCCGGCGATCCACACCCCGTGTGGCTCCAGTCCGACGTCGTCTTCCATCATCTGATGAACTTTCGGAGGTTGATCTTGTTGATGGCGAGCTTACATTATTTCCTCTACCCCGTAGAGGAACATTATTTCGTTCTTGTCTCTTGACCACATGTACCGTACTTCGAATACGCCGTCGACTCCCCAAGTCGACAGAGTGCTGACTCTCGTCACCCGGTGCGTCCACACTACGTCTACTTCGGTTATCCGATTTGCTGCCACGTGTTCCCGACTCTCCACCCCGTAGAGATTGGGAAACTGTATCCTTGTGCCCGGTTGCAACATTCCGCGAGGCCCCGCCTCGACCACGTGGTCGACCACGTCCACGACCTCGTGCCATCTAATTTTCACTTTTCACTGTTTCAAATATATATTTACCCGGCGCCTCCATCAATTTTATTTTCAAGAGTAATTTTTATTTTCACAAAGTAACAAAAATTATAACGAATAACAATAATGAATTGAAAACTAAATTGATTTGAACACTGAAAATTTGTTACAATTGTAATTGGGTCCACCCGTACGCCATCAGACAATCAAAATTTGGTAAAAACGAAAATAAAAATTTAATTCTTCTAAATTTTATAATTCTAATCATCTGAAAATTACCAGAGTTCTAGTAGGGACTGAGCCCTACACAATCCTAAAGAATATAAAATTTTATTTTAATTTTTAAGTGATAGCAGGTCCACCCCTACGCCATCAGACAATCAAAATTTGGTAAAAACGAAAATAAAAATTTATTTTTTCTAAATTTAATAATTCTAATCATCTAAAATTAACAGAGTTCTAGTAGGGACTGAGCTCTACACAATCCTAAGAAAAAAAGAATTTTATATCAATTTTTAAGTAGTAGCACCCTCACCCGAACGCCATCAGACAATCAAAATGTGGTAAAAACGAAAATAATAATTTAATTCTTCAAATTTAATAATTCTAATCATCTGAAAATTACCAGAGTTGTTGTAGGGACTGAGCCCTACACAATCCTTAAGAATATAAAATTTTATTTTAATTTTTAAGTGATAGCAGGTCCACCCCTACGCCATCAGACAATCAAAATTTGGTAAAAACGAAAATAAAAATTTATTTTTTCTAAATTTAATAATTCTAATCATCTGAAAATTAGCAGAGTTCTAGTAGGGACTGAGCCCTACACAATCCTAAAGAATATAAAATTTTATTTTTATTTTTAAGTAGTAGCACCCTCACCCGATCGCCATCAGACAATCAAAATGTGGTAAAAACGAAAATAAAAATTTAATTCTTCCAAATTTAATAATTCTAATCATCTGAAAATTACCAGAGTTGTTGTAGGGACTGAGCCCTACACAATCCTAAAGAATATAAAATTTTATTTTAATTTTTAAGTGACAGCAGGTCCACCCCTACGCCATCAGACAATCAAAATTTGGTAAAAACAAAAATAAAAATTTATTTTTTCTAAATTTAATAATTCTAATCATCTGAAAATTACCAGAGTTCTAGTAGAGACTGAGCCCTACACAATCCTAAAGAATATAAAATTTTATTTTAATTTTTAAGTGACAGCAGGTCCACCCCTACGCCATCAGACAATCAAAATTTGGTAAAAACGAAAATAAAAATTTATTTTTTCTAAATTTAATAATTCTAATCATCTGAAAATTACCAGAGTTCTAGTAGGGACTGAGCTCTACACAATCCTAAAGAAAAAAGAATTTTATATCAATTTTTAAGTAGTAGCACCCTCACCCGAACGCCATCAGACAATCAAAATGTGGTAAAAACGAAAATAAAAATTTAATTCTTCCAAATTTAATAATTCTAATCAACTGAAAATTACCAGAGTTGTTGTAGGGACTGAGCCCTACACAATCCTAAAGAATATAAAATTTTATTTTAAGTTTTAAGTGATAGCAGGTCCACCCCTACGCCATCAGACAATCAAAATTTGGTAAAAACGAAAATAAAAATTTATTTTTTCTAAATTTAATAATTCTAATCATCTGAAAATTACCAGAGTTCTAGTAGGGACTGAGCTCTACACAATCCTAAAGAAAAAAGAATTTTATATCAATTTTTAAGTAGTAGCACCCTCACCCGAACGCCATCAGACAATCAAAATGTGGTAAAAACGAAAATAAAAATTTAATTCTTCCAAATTTAATAATTCTAATCAACTGAAAATTACCAGAGTTGTTGTAGGGACTGAGCCCTACACAATCCTAAAGAATATAAAATTTTATTTTAATTTTTAAGTGATAGCAGGTCCACCCGTACGCCATCAGACAATCAAAATTTGGTAAAAACGGAAATAAAAATTTAATTCTTCCAAATTTTATGATTCTAATCATCTGAAAATTAGCAGAGTTCTAGTAGGGACTGAGCCCTACACAATCCTAAAGAATATAAAATTTTATTTTAATTTTTAAGTGATAGCAGGTCCACCCGTACGCCATCAGACAATCAAAATGTGGTAAAAACGAAAATAATAATTTAATTCTTCCAAATTTAATAATTCTAATCATCTGAAAATTACCAGAGTTCTAGTAGGGACTGAGCCCTACACAATCCTAAAGAATATAAAATTTTATTTTAATTTTTAAGTGACAGCAGGTCCACCCCTACGCCATCAGACAATCAAAATTTGGTAAAAACGAAAATAAAAATTTATTTTTTCTAAATTTAATAATTCTAATCATCTGAAAATTACCAGAGTTCTAGTAGAGACTGAGCCCTACACAATCCTAAAGAATATAAAATTTTATTTTAATTTTTAAGTGACAGCAGGTCCACCCCTACGCCATCAGACAATCAAAATTTGGTAAAAACGGAAATAAAAATTTAATTCTTCCAAATTTAATAATTCTAATCATCTGAAAATTAGCAGAGTTCTAGTAGGGACTGAGCCCTACACAATTCTAAAGAATATAAAATTTTATTTTAATTTTTAAGTGACAGCAGGTCCACCCCTACGCCATCAGACAATCAAAATTTGGTAAAAACGAAAATAAAAATTTATTTTTTCTAAATTTAATAATTCTAATCATCTGAAAATTAGCAGAGTTCTAGTAGGGACTGAGCCCTACACAATCCTAAAGAATATAAAATTTTATTTTAATTTTTAAGTGACAGCAGGTCCACCCCTACGCCATCAGACAATCAAAATTTGGTAAAAACGAAAATAAAAATTTATTTTTTCTAAATTTAATAATTCTAATCATCTGAAAATTACCAGAGTTCTAGTAGAGA